GCGATGCGATGTCACACCCCATTAAAGATGATAATTATAGTAGATAAGTTTACAAAAACTTAAAAACCTTTTTTTTTTTTATTTTTTTTTTTTTTGTTTTTTCAAAAGTTTAAAAAGTAGCCTTGTCATTTTAAAACTATTTTAATAGTATATCAGTCATTTTTATTCCAAACAGCTTCATATTGAAAAATATTGCATTAAGAAGAAATTAAAGGAGAACCTTATTATAATTTTATTTTAATATTAAGAAAGAAACTAATATTATGACATAGAATGATAGATTGCCATTAAAGAAAAAACTTCTTTATCTTCTTCACACAATTCTACATGCATACCATTAGATAATCTTTTATTAAATTCTTTTTATATATAAATCGAAATTTTTATGCTGAAAAGACAAGAAGGATATTATGGTGCATGCAAAAAAACAACTTGTATAGCCATAAAATCAAACTAAAATTAATTGGTTTATAACTTCATTAGTATGAGTTCATGCTTTATTAGACCAAAATTTATTGGAAATTATTAAAATAATGTTAAATTTTCCATGACTAATAGAACAATTGAAAACTGTTTATTATGCAAAACAATTCTTCAGGAATTTTTCATGTTGCACTGATTACGTTCCGAAATTATTTAGAGAATAAAATACCAAAATATTCTAAACTTTTTTTCCCAAGATTAAAGTCAAATTAAATAAATTATTTCTAAGCCGGGCTTTACAGTTTTCCGAAAATAAAATTTAATTTAATTTTTTTTAACTAAAGCGTTCAGCAGACTTGTAGCCTATCCAATATTTTTGTTAAAATGAGTTATTATGTTCAATAGAAACATGATCATATTATTATGTTCATAATAGTAATGGCCTAAAGAATTGTTCTACCTTAATTTACTCCTCTTTTCATTATTTTCACATAAGTTTATTTTTGCCTTTTAAAAATTTTCTTAAAAATTAAATATTTAACACTTCAATTCTGAAGCTCCTAACAGAAAGTAATTTTTTTCAGGGAATCAAAATTTTCTGAGTCCGATTCCCTTAAAAATCTATCTCTTCTAAAATTTAAAAATATTAATTACAAAATTAAGCAGTGAAATTACAAAAAAATTCTATTATTAAATGAAAACTTATTTTGATTCGCCTGAAAATATGCAATTTTTTTACAAATAAAATTTATTCAAGTTTATCACTCAAATTTACTCTTTATCACAAATTTTTTCTAACATTCATCTAAAAAGTAATACGATCGTTTCATTTTAAAATTTTATTCTTCTCTGGGGATTTTCAGAGGGTAGAAACTATAAATATTAAAATTTCTATCTATCTTATTAGTTTCTTAGCATTCAGAGATTTAATTTCTTTTATCTTAAAATATTTTCCTTTTTAGCACTTTTCCAAAAAATTTTTGAAAAAAAAGTGCTTATTAGTTTCACTCTGTCCGTCCGTCCGTCCGTCCGTCCGTCCGTCCGTCCGTCCGTCCGTGTGTCTGTTTACAAAACTTCTACACCCTTGAAGATAGAAAGCTGAAATTTTGTACGTACATAGATTTTTACTAGAAACTTATTTTCGTGGAACAAAATTTTTACCTATCTCCCCCCCTTTAGAAGTTATACCCCCCCAAAACCCTAAAAATGCCATTCTTTAACTATTTAGTGCAATGAAACCATAAGGATTTTTCAAATTTTGCAAACGCAGAAAGGCAGTGGCTTACTTCCCCTAGCGGGGTATACTAAAGGTTAACTTTAGAAAAACAAAATGGCCGCTCAAATTTACCGTTATCTAAAGTCCGTTTTTTCCAAATTTTTGATGTCGTTTATTTTCTAGACCACAGCCTGTAGAAGCTTGAAATTTTATGGGCTTTTAGACATTAACAAATAGTTCATTTCGTTAGAAGAAAATTTTTTTCCATCTCCTTCCCCTCTCAAGTTATGGCCTCTTGAAATTTGTAAAATTTGAATTTTTGACTCCTTATATTTCCGAAACCGCAAGCTTTTTCAAATTTCTATAAACATAAAAAGCTAACGGTAAATTCCATGAAATTAAAAAATATAATTATTTTTCTTAACTCACATAATTAAACCTTAAAATCGAGCATTATGTTAACCCCTTTTTATATTAATTTTTGCTTTATTTCAAACACTGCATATATGCGTCATCCTAAATATATGCAATTCTAGAAATAGTTTTGTATATGAATGAAAATAATTTTAATAGTTTGATAGGTATACATAGACTGTATTTAAAAGCAGAATTTTCACTTGCTGAAGGGAAAAGTGCTACAATACAAACCATTGGTTTGACCCAACTTTATTAATTTCTTCCTTTATCAAGTTTGGAAATTTTTTTGAAAAAGTCATAAAGTGTAAGAGGAAAAAAGTGTTAAATTTCTAGTCACCGAATATTAAAAGTTATTTTTTTTCTCTTTATTATTTTTAAGTAATAACAACGCTGTTGCGATAGTAAATGGCTTTAAAATGTAAAAATAATACAGTGAAGTCAAAAAGTTTTTCTTTTTTCTAAAAAACAAAACAAAAAGAGAGATAAAAATCACTCCCATCCATTAATTTCCTTCTTATTTTAGTCTTTTATGATGCTCAGCTCTTTTTTTTTCGCTCCATGTTTGCGGAAAATTTTTGACATTGAAGAATTAGTTTGCTCTTTTAATAACAAAAAAAAACAAAAAGATGTTAGATCCCATTTAAATATGAAAAATGTGTAGTTAGTTATCCTTAACATTGAACTATTTATAAAATTATGAAAAAAAAGCGAAGGATTAAAAAAAAAAATTGCCAACTTGTGTTCATTGCCACATACCAGATAATTTTGATTTTAATATTTTTTCCTTTGTTGTTGTTTGGTTTTTGGATGAAAGATAATTAAAAAGTCATTTTTTTTATTTTGGTCTTCCAATTCCATCATCTTATTTAATCATAATGTGACAGACAGGATATTTAATACTATATAATATGAGAAAGGACAAGAAAAATTTTAAAATTTTTTGAGAAAAATTTAGAAAATTTAAAATTTTAATTACGTTAAGATATTTTACTTGAAGAGATTGCTCGAATAGAGGCTGAAGGAGGATTGGGTTTTCATTTTAATAAGAAGGAAAATATAGGATATTGCAATATCAGAGATTGATTGGCAGTAACTAATGTTTGGAATGTTGTTAAATTATTAAAGGGAAATGGAAACTATCTACTTTAGATGTGAAACAAATTTTACAATTTTAATAATTTTTTAATTAATCACGTTCCAGGAAGACATATTTGCAAATTTTTATCGTTTTTTCAATAAAATGCTTTCTGGGCAGACAAATACTTTCTCATTTTAGCAATATTTGCATTCCAAACGATTATATTTTCTTATTTCAACAGGTTTTTTAATAAATTCAGCCAAGTATTTTTAGAAATTTCTGTTATTCTTAAAGTATATTGCATTTTAAACCTAAATTTTTCCAAATTTCAGAAATTTTTGTAATAAATTTCAAAGAATTATTTTTAGATTTTAAAAATGATATTCTTTAAAAAAAACGTAAATCAAAATTTAATCTCTACAATTATAGTATCTCAAAAAACTTCTATAATACCAACAGAAAACCATTTTAAAATTATTTACAAGTCCTTCAAAATATCCAATTACTTAAACTTTAATAAAAACATTTCAAATTTAAGAACATTTACATGTTCAATTTAAAGATTTCAAAATAATATCAAAATTTTATACCGTCACGAAATAAATTGAAATCTTTCTACTCTTGTTTTTTTGTTTTTTTCTTAAAATCTTATATTATCTACACGAGTACATGAACTTGCGCATAAAAACAAATTATATTCAACAAGTATAGTACAAGAAAATTGCACATATATTTTCTAAGAAGTACCACTTTTACAATGTCTAACATCAAATGAATAAAACGAAATTTGAAATGACATTAAAAGAATTTTTCCAAAAAAAAAAAACAAATATATTTAATTTAAAATTTCAAAGAATAGATGAAATAAACTAATTTTAAATAAAGACACACGAATGGTATTCAAATCATGAGTAAGATATTCAAAAAAAAAAAAAGAAAATTAAATTATATAAGAAAACATTATTTTTCTTGTAACTTAAGTGTTGAATGTAGCATGAGATTATTGTTATAAACAGGGTCCTGTTAAAAATATTAAAGTTTTAAAATAAATTTAAAATTGAGTCAGAAATATTTCGTAATTATTTGTAGGCATACGAATGAATATTTAAAAGGTATCCAGTACTAGATTTGTAACTCTATGAAATTAGAATGTTGGAGATATGTAGACATTAATAGAGAGTTGAGAGCACAGTATTATATACCTTCGTGTAGGTAATCGAAAATTGGTAAAATTTTTGCTTAAAACTAAGGATCAAAGGCAAAGACTGCTAAGATACAAGTATTTCAAGATAATTTCATACTATATAATCTACGTTGTACAAGAGAAGTTGTTTTCAAAATTTCTGGAGAACTTAAATAACAATCTTTAACACTATAAACTAGCATGCATGCAATATTGAATAGAGGGAGAATATGATTATTAATATTCAATTCCAATTCAATTTAAACTTTAACTTACTCTGTTGCAAATGCAAGGGAACAAATCCCTTTCTATAAAGTAAATGCAAATTTCGAATTTAATAGGTTCTGAATATGTTTTTTTTTCAATATAACCATTTTTTTTTCTTTAAAACAACAGAAGTACATTTAAATTAAATAAGATTTTTTAAAGAATTTATTCCTTGTCACTTCATTTTCAATTTCTTTAAATTTCATTTGGTTTTAAAAAAAATATTTTAAATGTCATTTGAAAAAGTTTTTTCGTTGTTTTATCTCTTCCTAAGGATACAAAGCAATAAGGACTATATAATGTACATATATGTATGTATATGTATACCTCAAGTATCTTTAGGAAATTATCTTAAAATTACAACTATAAAAATAATAATAATAAAAAAAAATTGTAAAATAAAATAAATCACTTACTTGAAACGACCAAAATATTGCGTATCTTATTATATTCCTTTTTGTATCTTCAAATTGCTTATCACGTCCAATTTTAACAATTCTATATAATAAGTAACCCGATAAACGTGCTCCCCATAGACATACAAAAACTGTCACCATTAATTGTCGACTATCATATGCCTGAAAATATATACAAAATTTTCAATAAATAATTGAAATAAAAATTGATATAAGAAGAACGGATATATTTTTTAAAAGAAATTATTTTTAAGGCAATAAAAAATTTTTTTCATATAACATTAAGTATAATGTACATTCGTACTAATATATTGAATATTTGGCTACATATAAGTGCTGCTATATTATAGTATAATAGTTAACTGTACATGGTTATCAATTTTTACTGTTATAGCCACAAATATTTTAAAATTAACAGAGTCTTACAATCACCAACTGAAGAATCTTAAACAATTTTCATTAAATTGCTACGAGTATTTATTTGCTAGCGAAAAACAAATTGGCATTTTATTAAATTTTAAAATCGAGTTCCATAAAAAAAATTCAATTAACAACATTAATGGCATTCTCTTAAATTGATTTAAATGTTACTGACTATAAGGCCATTGGTTTTTAAATTATATCAAAATAAGTACCTTTCGTCAACCTCCCCCATATTTAGTCTAATACGCTTATTTCTAAATTCCCACATTCCCATTTCTCTCAAATATTAGTCTGTATCTGGTCTAAAATAATCAATTGTATTCATATGACATGGTTGAACAGCTTTTAAAAAAAATCTTGTTCGAAATTTGAAACTCAATGAATGTACTGAAATCGTTTTTAAAAACCAAATGGACTCGGTGCAATAAAGTTGATAACCTAAAAATTATAATGGGAACAAAATGTTGTTAACTTAGGAATTATTATAGGAATAATAGTAGGTTATTAATCTACATATACGAAAAAGCTAACAGAAATTGTAGGAAAAAATTAAATTCCGATTGCAATATTACCGTTACATTTTCAAGGTTAGGCGATGTTGTAGGACCGTATCCCACACCTATTGCATGGGCATAATAAACCCTTATACACTGATCGCGGTACACTAAATTACCTTATCCATATACTCTACAATCTACAAAACATTCTTAAAAATCCTGAAATTCCAAGAATATTGTTTCCTATTGTTGTTTTATAAATTTCAAATTACAAAATTTCCATTTCACATTTTGATGTTCTCATTAACTACAAATGTTTTTGTAGAGACTCAAACTACATTTTCTAAAAATTATATTCTACTAAATGTAATTTAAGCCCTGAAAATTCTATTCAAACCCTGAAAATTCTATTCAATGGCCTTAAATATTCCTCTTACCTCAATATACGATGTAAGAGGAAATTTTAAATTTACATAAAAATAATATACATAAATTAATAACGAGAATTTAATAGCATGTTTTATTAATAAATTTAAAAAATATTTTTTCCCAGAATTTAATTCAATGTATATATAGAGTGTGGTATACTATGATATAACAACATTTATTCTTTAGAAATGTATAGCAACAACAAAAAGAAAAAAATAGGAAAAATTGCCATATTTATTACAAGTGATAGAAATGATAATGGCAGTAAATAAAATTACCATAGCAGCAGAAAATTTTTCCGAAGCAAAATTTTTGCCTATATCTACAAATAATATAATTTTACACTTAATATTGTCAAAAATAGTCAAATACATAGATGGTAATATTAAATGTAATATACTTATTGAAGATATAAGATTCTTCAAAGAAGCACATTTCATTTCGGATAATTCAAATTATACACCAATACTTTGATTATTTTGAGGTCAAGAAAATAAAATAACAAATTCTAATAAAATTTTAATTTTATAATCAAATCTTGTTTCATACATTAAAGAGTAAGGCTTCATATTCTATTAGAAGATGAATAAAGGTGTTAAATCTCGCGGACAATGGCAATCAAACTAACTTTAGTATGTACTATGTAGGGGATCTCAGATAGACGGGAAAAGATTTGCTATAGCGAAATGAAAATTTTATTAAAACAAATAACAACTTTATGAAAATTTAAACATTTTACAGACTTGTTGTTTATAGACTTGCCGCTTAGGAGAAAATATGAAAAGATACCAACTTATTTTTCGTCCTTTACCTCGAATTCTACAATAATTTCCATTGACGATATGTTTTGCAATGAAGAGAGCTTGAATTCGAGTTATTTTGTTCAATCATGCTAAAGTTTTATTCATTTTGCTTTATTACATAAGAAATTTCACTGTAGAACTTAGTACTAAACTTATTATGCTTCTATCGTCTTCCATTTTAATTTACAAGTAAACACATTTTTTATGTAAACTTTATTCACAATCACCACCTTATAAAAATTTTCCATTTTCTTTACATAATGTGACAATAAATATTCACACAAAAATGACAAAAATGTCGTATGCATGGACTTAAATTTTATTCGTGTACTTGCACTTCTTATTCATTTTCCATTTTATCAAAAAAAAAAAAAAAACACAATCAAAAGACTGAAAATATTCAAATAAAATTTTGTTTCCTAAAATTTTCTTTATTTTTCCCCTATTATAAATTTTAAAAATAAAAATTCTAAATCTATATACCTCGAATATCTGCTGCCAAAATGTTATATCACAAATTTATACAATATCGACTCAGCACCAAATTGCATACGCACTACCTACAACACTACAGGTTCCTCTACATTGCTAACATAGAATGCAAATATTTTTTGTATGAATAAAATTTTTATTTTATTTCATCGTCAAATTCAACAGGTTTATTTAAACAATTTAAAAATTGTTTCGCTTTTACTTCTATTCCGTAATATTCTTTTTTAGTTTCCATTGTTATTTTTGAAAAAAAAAAATTTTTGTACCTGCATATTTATAAAATTTTTCTCCACCTCATACACTAGTCTCTAAATTCATATAGGTTTTTGTAGTAAAATTATTTATGCACTCTCATATCTATAAGCATTTCTATCGGCATTTTAGTTATAACAAAAAAAAAATATAATGGGAAAAAAAATGGAAATTCTTAAAAACATTTTATTGTATTTTATAAAAATTTACATAATATTCCTTTGAGTCCTTGCAACCTATAAAAGTATTCAAATTTTAAATTCAAATTTTGTATAAACGAGAATAGGTAGAGTTGACCATATCAACTCTGTGATACCCGTACGAATGAATAATTTTAAGTACTGTGTGTTGATTGCAACACTGTTCCATCTGTTTAAAAAATTTCAGCACTATAATTTTGATAGTTTCCATAATATGAGACCAAATAATTTTCGAAACTATATGGTAGGTATCATAAACACTCATAATATCTGAATACCTTTTACCGAAAATTATTGCCCCTTTACCATATTCGTTTATGCAATTACTGTTATGACCAAATAACTTTTGAAGTTGTATCGCATTTACCACAAAGAGCCAAGAAATTACAACGATTTTTATCGCACAAAACAGCCCCAATAACGGTATTATTGATACTATATAGCTTCAATAATTTTTGTAATATAAGCAGATAACTTTAGAAGTTATATGGCAGCTACCCGAACCATTGATTCTATCACATCCAATTTAAATAGGGTTCTAACATTTACTATTATAAATAATTTTTGAAAATTTGAACTTAGCTCAATTAGTTATGGACGGACGGACGAATACACGGACGACGGACAGATATCGACTTAATCTACTCAGAATTCGACGCTTATCAAAAACATATTACTTCTATATCTTATACCATTATTTCTTAACATTACAAACGATAATTCAAATTTAGTATGAATACCCTTCGAATATAAGTTCGTACAGGTATAAAAACTATTCTACCTACATAGTTTTATATCCTTTTCAATATAACGTAAAATGTACCTAAAAAGAGCTATATAAGTTGATTTAAAAAATTAGATATACTAGAGTACTAGACTATATAGAGTACAATTGTGAGAGTATGTGTTGAAATTTACTATGGCTACTTTATTTACATTTCCATTTTTAGAATGTTAAAATAGTAAGTGACGATAGCCGCAGTCTACAAAAGTACTTTATTATACACCTTTGTATAATATTATTTAAGCACAGGTGGAAAAATATACACTGTTGCCATATTAAAAAGAATAATAACTCTAATAACTTCACACAAAGCCCATACTATAGTATTATTGTTGCATAAACTTGCATATAATTTTGATTGCAATAAAAAATTTTCATCACTAACTTAATGATGAAAATTTTAGCTTTGAAAATAACGGCTTTGGGAGCAGAATTGCTTCCCCCCTCCCTCCGCCTTTTAGATACTTCAATTTATTGAAAAAATAAATGTTGGAGGGGATTAATTTAAACACCATGTTTATTATTAGTTGAAGAACATAAATATTGGCTCAAGGTGCATTTTTTAGGGTGTATATTATAAGTTAAACGCTCTTCGTATAAATTCAACGATTTAATTATACTTGTCCAGCCGTCTATACCGGGCTGTTTATCCAGCCGTCTAGTACAGCCGTCTAGTACAGCCGTCTATACTGGGAATAATTTAAAAATTCCTATAGCCCGGAAGCTATTAAAGCAATTCAATCTAATTATCATAAATGAATTTAGTAAAATGGCCACATTTTCGTAAAAACTTTATACAAAACAAGGATTTATGCAACACATTAAAGAATTCATTCGCGCGGTAATTTCAACGCTGACATGATTGACCTCCGAAATTGGTCTCACTGCGGCTCTTCATAATTTTTAAATGCGATAATTTACAATCTCATTACAAAAACATTCATTAATAATACAGTCACCATGTCTTCACTTAATGAATTCAGCACGTGAACAAGTATAGAATTCAAATACCATCGCAATCCTTAAATGGTCCACAATTGAAATTAAACAATAAACGTGCGCACTATAAAATATTTTATTAAAAAAAAAAATTTATTAAATATTTTATTTGATCTAAAAGTTACAATATTTGAATATTTAACATTTTTTTTTTCTAAATAAAAGAATTTCAATTACAAAATTTGAAATTCAAAAGAAAGAGAAGAAGAACAAAGCAAAAAAAATTTAAATTTTACACCAAATATTTTGTGATCTCTCTCTAAAGAGTCTAAACTATAAAATT